AGACAACTGTTTGGATTTTTTCAATGTGAATGTAAGAGGGAAATGAACATGGAGCTTCTATAATTCAGTGAGGTAAGGCTTTACAGACATGTCAGTCAGAAATAGCGCCAGAGTGTGCCAAATATCTGTTCAAAGTATTTTATATGAATTAAGCTGTTCCACAAGAAAGCAGTGACTTCACTTGTCTTCACTTCTTAGTTTGGTACAGTGATGGACTTTGAACCATCCTACACTTAAAACCCCACTTAAATCACTCATGCACTGATGTGTTCAGTTAGATGAATAAATTTTCCACTACCAGCTGTCCAAGCTCACTGATAGTTAGCACTTAGCTCACTAAGAGCTAAGCTAACCAAGGTTAACACACCTCTTGAAATGAACTGCAAGAAACAAAGCCCAACAAATATAAAACATCTTGCAATGACTTCAGTTATATCTGTCTCTTATTTTGTTTCAGCTGTAGAATTCTGCACCTGGGAATTCTCCCCAGCCCTTAGTCCTTGGAGCCAATATTATTAGGGCAAATGGGACATGTTCAAATCCTGAGCACTCAGAGCTATGAAGACATGTAACAGTCTTCAGGCAAGTAATTGAATGGCTAAACACGAGTTCCTAATATTCTGCCAGCTATTATCAGCAGATACCACGACAGCAAGAGACAGAGCTCCCTTGGAAAACAGCTCCATAAAATGGAATGAACTCAGTTGAAAACTTAAGACCACTGCAAACCTCACTGCTTTTCCTCTTGAGATGCCAAGTACATTGCTCTGACCGCCTGCAGTATAAACAGATAGCTATTTAGAAACTTGTATAAAATAAAATTCCAAAGCAAAACACTCCAGCAATTCTCTGTGAGCCTTTCGTCATCTGGTGGGAGGCTGCAAGATGACAGGTGTCAGACGTGCTGAGTAAAGCCTGGCTGAGAAGCGCTCGGGTGTTCTGGCAGTGAAAAGCCCCGTGAAGTGGTGCAGAAAGCAGGAAGGCTCAGATCCAGAAGGATCTCTTTGTGTATATCAGTCTTTTCTCAGATATCCAAAAAGCCATATAAAGCATGAGTCAAGCATATAGAAAAACATAAAGCTACAACTGGCATGCTTCATTTAGGAAAACACATATGTTGGCAGTTTTCCTTCTTCTCTACCTCACTTGGGGTCCAGGTTCAGACATCGGTTAAACACTTTCCTAGCTTTGATGGACATGAACCTTCAGGACAGATTTGAAGTTAAGCCTGTACTTTACTACCCTTAGGAAATGCACCTAATCAGGTTCTGCTGGTGGCTGAAACAAGGCTTGACAATGAACTTACAATGTAGTCCATAAACTTCATGCAATAAAAAAAAGTAGTGAAATGTTCTGAAAGTGAACTAAAAATCCAGCCAGTTCAAGATTTCATCTCATCAAGCACAAAGACAAAGCCATTTTTCAGGCTAAGTACTTCTGGCACTAGAGTTCAAATCTCAGGTGAATAAAGGTCCTGGTTATGGCAAGCATTTTCAAAAAAAAAAAAAAAAAAAAGTCTTGGCTGTCAAACACTCAGTTCTGTCATGCTGGCTATTTCCACAGTAAGGAAAGTGTGTTGTGCTTTGATGACACAGGTCTTCCCCTGTCCATTTTATCAAGCAGCGAAGAGAAAATAATTGAAAAAGACAAGGCCTCTGGCCTTCTGGGTGCGTTTCGCACTGTGCATGTCAATGCAAGGCTGCAGCCTCATGCTCCCAGGCATGCTTGGCACTCACCCTGCTGCCAGAGCTCTCAGGACACTGATAAACTCTTGATATTGCTTAAAATAGAAACCAACCATTCCTCTTCACAGCACACATCAAAAAAACATGCACAACGTGATTTCTACAAAACTTTACACTGCTGATCAGAAACTTACATGACAATTAGGCACAGCATATACTTCAGATTCTTTCTAGATCCTCAAACATATGAATGCTATCATGAGCCCTTCATCACTGAGGTTATCATTGTGGTATGCCATGAACAAATCAAACCTTAAGAGATTGCACAGATCTTCAGACTAAGGTCAGGAGCCAAAATCAGGTATAAGAAGGTGAGATTCAGTATAAAACATCCCAGCTGTATCCTGTTGAAGGATGATGGGATGATCTGCACAAATGTCAAATCAAACAGTTCTTACCAAAGTACTTGAGCTTCAGAAAACACTTGCTAATGGTCCTGCAGCTCCTCTGCTAAAAGCTTTTCACACTTCATTATGCCCAACTCAGAATGCTTTATGCACAACAGAACAGCTGACCCTGTTCTCCCTCTGAATATACTGGAGTTACTAATATGCAGTTCTTTCTCACCAAGACGTGAAAGCATTAATGACTCACCAGAACACATAGAATCAAGAGGACTTGGAGTTTTCCTAAATCTCAGATTGCAACGAAAGAAAGGAATTTCAGAAATTAACTTTCCCAGTATCTTACAATGAATTTAATACTGTGTTCTGGAAGGCTTATACTCCTGAATCTGACCAAAAGTACCACTGGGAGGTGGTACCCTTTTTGAACACATAGTACAACAAAAGAATCCGGATCAGAACTTCTAATGATTGTGTATTCCAGTGTCATTCTGTAATAGTTACTAGTGTCAGAACTCTATTCCTGACAGATCTTACAGGCAAAACTCTTACTGTTTCTACAGAAAATACTCAAGCTGGTGAAAGGAGAAAAATCATTGGCAATTACTTTTTACCAAGTTAGCTGAAACATATTCTTTCCAATTAGGATTCAAACACGTTGAAAATTCAGTAACATCCAGGAGACAGATGATAAGGGAGGGTTTCATGAAGTGACCCTTTCCAGCCTGAATGCAGCTTCCAGTGTAGCAACTATTACTGGGGAAGGGCTGGTTTCACCCACAAAGAACTAGCTTTCCCTAGTAATAGTTAAGCAGCAACACAGTAGGGTTTGGCCTTTTAATAGTTTAATTGCTTTTTCTTGTTGAATGCCAGCAACTCCCATTCACACCTCGTAGTCTAAGGAGATCTTAGGAACAGTACAACAGCTTCAGTTTTGGATATTTTAATCACAGCCTTTTGTTGCTGTTCTTGGTAAAAGATGTGAAAGTCAGCACAGACAGTAGAGAACTGGCAAAAATCTCAAAGAGCCTCTGCCCAGGAAATAATTTTGACTCACAGTTTTTGTCAAGCCTGTTATCATCCATTATAGATAATTATCACTATACTGAAGACTGAAATTGAGAAACAGGGAACAAAAAAAGCTATACTGGTGCTATGTGTTTGTCCTCCAAGACGCATAAGGGGTGCCATGCTTTCAGAGCTGAGCAAACAAATTTTGGTATCAAAGCAGTTTTGCTTGGGTGGGGGTTTTTCTCCCCTCTAATCCCTATACACACATTGTTCTTCTGATAAAAAACAGGTACTTAAAGCAGCAAATGCCTGTGTTGATACTGTAACATTCATTAACCTACCACATACCTCTCTGTATTTGCACTGCTTTATGTCTTTTTTCTATATAAATTGTGTATCATTAAGTTATCTGTACAGCAGCTGCCAAGAAATAACAGGACAAATTTAAATACCCATTCTTTCTTCATCTTCCAAGTCCCGAAGTAACCTGTTAACAGGACTTGAATCCAGCCAGCATTCAAGAGGCCCCATCTCAGACAGATTTTGTAAGAAGTGTCACTGGCATGCACATACCTACACCCTGTCCAGGTCAGTCTACTATTTTTTATGCCTCCCAGTCACATTTTCTTTTCCCCAGTAACTGCCAGATCCATATACACTTCACAAAACATAACTGAAAATCTTGAGAATAGAAATCTTGCATTATTCCCAAACATATGAGAATAAGAGAGTGGGCTTTCAATTAATCTGCAGACATCTGCAGAGGATCAAAGCATGTATTCTAAAGCCTGCAGAAAAACAGGTAAAATACTTACTCGTAGCACTGATTTGGCTATAATTTAGTTAAATTCATGCAAATGTATGAGACCTGAGCATTTTAACGAACTGAAAAGAGCTAAAATCCCGTGTGACTATTTTTAAAAGAACAGATTTATTCTAAAGATCCTTCACAAAGACCAAACCAACTATATTCTGCAGGATATGCACAGCATGTGAGAGTTCTGAATATTTGATAATTTCACCCAGAAATTCCTTCACCAATCAAAAGGCAAGTGGTTTCCTGACCTCACCTTAGATTTGCTCAGGAACCTTGCTGTTGTAGGGCAGCAGGCTCACAGAGGGGAATCTGCTTTTAAAAGTTGCAAAAATGCCCCCTTTCTAAAAAAAAGGCTTTTTTATATGTAGAGCTCACTTCCCTTCTCAGGAAGGAGGCAGCTTAACCAAAGCCCCACTTAATTTAAGATAGTTAACTATAAAACAAAAACAGGAGTAAACTCACAGATTCAAAATTAAGGGATTTAGAGGGAGATACAGAGAGATCCCACGGTGCAACTGCTATCTCTCAAGTCAGTCAGTCACGTTTTTTATCTTCAGTACCTAAATCTTCTGATAAAACCCAAAGCAACTCCCAGAGTGGCAAAGCAGGAGTTCCTGCATGTTCCTTCTCTGGCCTGACACAAGCCACCTTGGTCAGAAGAGGGTTCACAAAGAAGTCTCTCAGCTTCCTGAGTGCCCTTGTTGGGTCTGTAAATACAAGAAACTGAACACGAAACTGCAATGTAACAACAGTAAGGCTACATGGTAGAAACAGATCACAGCCTGATATGTGCCCTCCCACCACATGTTCTGGCGCTTGCTTAATGGGGCACTGTCTAGGATCTCAGGCACCCAGAAGCAGCAGGGAAGCTCCTGGGAGAAGGACTCAGTGCTGGAACAGGAAGACACCTGCCTGAACAGTTCGCTCAAAGGCTCACAAGGGACCACCACATCTGCTAGGGATATGTCACAATGCCCGCCCACCCTCCAGCCACACTCACAGCAGTACCTGGGGATTTTAGACTTCCCATTCCTTATTTTGAGTTCAGTAACCTGCAATAAATTAATGTCATATAATGCAATGTATTTTGCAATATAGAGAAGTTTAATTTTTGAATGCAGTTGAAATAAAACTAGTCCTGCTGATTAGTCAAGAATATTACAAAAACTCCAGCCAACCTGGAGCTAAGGTTATCAACTGGCAGGCCGATGCCAGCACACTTACTGACCTGTTATATGATGCCAAACAGGAAATATAATGGCTGAATTCTTCCTACCTTTCTCTTAACAGAAGCACTTGTTTCACTTTTTCTCCTCTATTTGGCTAGTGATTTACCTTTTATTTGTAAGGAAGAGTATATTAAGCATCCAAGGATTATTTTGGCTACTATTTTACAGTTTCCTTTATGAAATAAAACCCTTCACCAATTGCTTTATGAGATCTTCCTTGCCTTAAAATTAGCTTACTTGCACCACTGTTATCCACAGATCAAGATATCTACTTTTCTTTTCACAGACAACACATTATTCATTCTGTTTAAAAAAAAAAAAAAGGATAAACCTCTGTTTTCATTTAATCAGAGCAAAGAGAAAGCTGAACTTTCATGTCAGTTTCTAAGGCATTTACTAGTACTGACTGCAGGTCCGAAGTGACTTCATATCTTCCGACAGTGATCTCTCTGGAGATCACAAAGAGCAATTCTTTTATTTTTATTTTATTTTCACATGTATCTTTACTGCAGTTTATTTGTACAGGCAGAGCATTTTATAAAGGAACCCGAATTAGATTAAAATGCAAGACAGACATTTGTCCATTAGTTCAAGAGAAAGGGGAAAAAAACCCAGTAGTTGCCTTGAAAAATTCCGTGAGTGATTTACTGATTTTCTTTTTTACATTCTCAGTCCCACTTGGAAGTTTTCCTCCTCATATATCTGGACCCCTCACTGTCGATTGCTTCGTAGAGGTCCTTTTTATTCTCTGCAGTTGCATGCAAATAACCAAGATAGGCCACACAGAGGCTAATTGCTATCAGTCCAAATGCCATCACAGGTTTGTTCTGACAAGAAAAAAAAGTGGTAAATGTTTTTAGTCAAAACATTTTTCATTAAACTCAAACATTACATTCTTCTACCTCAGCTTAGAAACTGAACAGCAAACTATTGTGACATCTGCAAAAAATCATCACTGCCTTCTTGTAGACTGAATTTTCTGTCAGCAAAAGGACTTCCTTTCGAAAAAGAAGATTCTTTCTAGAGACAGCACAGCACATTGCCCAGTACTCTGTATTTTGGTTGGAAATGCTGATTGAGCATGAATGAACCAGACAAAACCAATTACTGAAGGTCTCTACTACAAATTTTTAATAGAATTCAACTGGATATACTACTGGGACAATGCACTCTGGTCCTGCTTGAATACAATCCTCTAAACCACATTTTGTATTCTCATCACAAAATCTACTTTTATTGCACTAAATCTATACTTATTATATGCACAACATTTCACTCATTGCTGGGTTCTGCAAATGCAAATAAAACCTGAATATCATCAATTTAATTATAAAAGCAAGAAAAAGGAAAACCCAAAATACTGAGAAGCTACCAAAAATCACCTCATTTCATACCAAAAAAGTTTGCATTGTATGATTTGTTTCCTTTTAAATATTAAAAACCACCCCTGTTGTTTTTATTACTTAATAATAAATAATAGTATTACTTAACCTGTCAAATTACATGGGTAATATACATTTAAAGAGTCTTTCTGAAAGCAGCTTGCCCAGGTACAAAAGAATCAGACAATATAACAGCAAAATAAAAGCTGCAATAAACAATGTAACATTCTGTGCTCTCAACAATCAAGAGTGGAAAAAAGTAAAAATATTTTTAGCTACATTTCTGAGTGGTTTGCATAACAAAAGATGTTTACATAATGCACAGAGAATTGTAACAATTACTTTAAAGCAACTGTATATCTTCAAGCAGATTTAGTTTCAGAACAACTGTCTTACAGGTTTAATGAAAAGCTCAGGGTTCACAGCCCGGAAAAGCATAGTTGTCTGAACATTCCTCAGTCCTGGTTTTCTCTCTTTGAGTGTTTCATTTTCATTTGAAGGTTTGGTGGAAGACATTTTATTTAATGTTGAATAGTTCCTAGAAGTGGAATGAAAAACAGGTGTAATATCTGTAATAAAACCGGGAGATTTTTTTTACTTTATTTTTCACATTCATTGCATGAATAATGCAAATTCACACTCAGTTTGTCTTCTAACAGCATGAATTTTAGCTAGTGTAAATATTACTGATCACCTCCAATATCACCTGGAGGTAGCTTAAGCACACCAATTTACAATCCTGGTAATTTTGTGCATCCTAAAATCAACTTTTGGAAGTTCACATCTTCATATAGCCATTCTAAATCTCTTGATAATGGGCTTGGGGTTTTTCACTTGCCTTTGGCTAATGCTTTAGCTACCTGTGGACCAAGTAGGATCAGTCTTCAGATCACCGGCTAAAAAGACAACACCAGGAAAAAATTTATTTTTTAAAAACTATTTTACATGGCAGGACAGCCCGAGCACTACTGTAGTGCAGTCACTTTAGCCACCCACCCCAGCACTCAGGTCTCACTTTTGCACGCACTGGGCACATCACAAATGTCTTGGGTTCAAACTGAAAGAGGGGGAAATTAAGCTCCTTGAAATGTGCAAGAAATTCTTTATTCTGGGGGTGACGAGGCACTGGAACAGGCTGCCCAGAAAAGCTGGGGATCCCCCATCACTGGAAGCGTTCAAGGCCAGGATGGACGCGGCCCTGAGCAACCCGATCTTGTGGAAGGTGTCCCTGCCCCTGGCAGGGGCGCTGGAACGAAATGATTTTTAAGGTCCTTTCCAACCCAAACCATTCCATGAGCACCTGAGCAAAGGTGGAAAAACAAGTCTTTGGCAGATTACTGAGGGGCAGAGGAGACACGGTGCCGGGGATGCCCTGGGAAGGGAAGGGCAGCGCAAGGGCAGTCACACAATCCCATCCGGAGCGGCGAGGAGCTCCTGGCGCCGCCACCGGGACAAAGGGGGCAGTTTGACCCTAATCTGGAAAAGCCCAGCTGGCACTCCCGGGACCCGCGGGACCACCGCCTCACGGAGCGGGGCGGCTGAGGGGACACTCACGCCGCGCGTGCCTCCCCGCCCCCCTCGCTACTCACGGCTCG